AAAAAAAAAAAAAAAAAAAAAAAAAAAGGAGAAGAAGAAGAATGATAGGCAAGCTGTGGATGTTGGGATGCCACAGCTCACACTGCAACACCTACTTTAGCATGTGCAGGGCCTTGGCTTCCATCCTCAGTTCCACAAAACAAAAACCCTAAGAGCCACCAAAAGTAATGCCCAGCTTAATCTGAGATTTTCTTTTTTCAAATTCAGTTATCAGACATAAGTTTTCTATCAAATGCTTTGCAACCGTGAGAAAAAGAATAAGCTGGGACTGGTAACATTCTCTGGATTTTCCTAATCATTAGTTTATGTTCAGTGATCCTGAAAAACTGAGCCGGCTGGCTTTAAAAATCTAAATGGTTGAGGAACTACAAAATATGTTTTATCTTGAAGTGGAATTTACTATTCTGCCTTTCTACTTTTTTGGCTAATTCACTCAGTCTGCTATTTAATCTTTAATTACAGGCCACAAAAGAAGTAATAGAACGGGAAGCGCCAGGGATGGCCCTGGCCATGCTGATGGGATCACTTAATGTTACACCTCTGGGCATGCTCTCTAGGTAAGAAAGCCACCCACAAATTGCAAAGAAAGTGAACTCCTGACTACAAATCAGCAACCTAGAACAATGAATCTAAGAGAGTTTAGCCACAAAGCTTAAGTTTATCCCTTCTTATTCAGAGTTAGACATCTTAGTATTCTCTGTAGCTAAATCTCAACCAATCCTCGTCCCCCCCTTTTTTTTTGGTTTTGGTTTTGTTTTTGTTAAACTTCTAGAGATTGTTTTAACATTGTTGAAAGCCATCAGTCCTAATGCTTAAGAGTTGAGTTCATCAAAATGTAAAGTTACTCTTTTTGTGATTATTTATAATCACCATTTATATTCATTAATTGTAACTAGCTGCTAGTTTAATACAATGAACCTGCAAATTTTATTAAAAATCACTTATTCTCATATATAGGCACTTTGATTTGAATTTATAAAGAGGTATATTTATGTGCGGTCATAGAAAGATAATCTCTGAGTAATTTAGTATATTTATATTGCTCTAATGAATCAGTATATTATTATACTAAATTAGTATATTTAAAACAATTTTTTGTTGGCATAGATGGTAGTATCTATATTTGATCTGGTGGTTTCTTACTATTTTAGTAAATCTTAAATTATTATAAATGAAAATAGTATATATCATTTAAAATAAAACTTAATTTAGTCAGGATTCTTTTAATTACTTTTGGACATTAGACATTTAATGTTATGGTAGCCCAAAATACACAACTTTATAAGGTCCTAATTTATAATCACGTATTCTGTGTGAAATATGAATATAAAATGCTAAGCTACCTATTTAATTAATATATAAATGTTATTCAAATGGCTTTCCTGTTACTTGAATTAAGTTTATAGTTCATTGGTGGCAGTCATTGGAGGTTTAGCTATAAGTGAATCAATTATTATATTCTCTATACTCTCATAAATATATACAGTTTATAATGTTTAATAAGTGAAAAGGAAATTATAATAATATGAGAGATTTTATATAGATAAAATTAATCTTCTTTGAGAATTTTATACATACTTTAATCCTGTTCTTCCACCAACTCTTCCTGTGTCCATAACATTTACTGCACAGTATTGGGTCTTTTTTTTTCACCCTCATCAAGGCCAATGTGTACTGCATAAATATTCTTAAGTGTGTGGCCTACTGCTGGAACAAACATACTAGTTTTATCAGAGCCTACATTCTTAGGAAAAAGCAAATATTTCCCTCACAACAGCTAAGAATTATCAGTAACACTTCAAGTAGGGGTAGAATTTCATGTCCAACTCCTCTTTCCACATTTGGATTTTATTTGGCTCAAATTTGCCCGGGTCTTCTGCTTGCTGTCTTACCACGAGTTCCTATTTGCAAAATGCCCTGCTGTGTCCCGAACACACTGTCTCCTGGTAGCTCTCCACTGCCTCTGGCTTATACATCTTTCCATTCTGTCTTTGTCAATGATCCCTGAGCAGGCTGAACTTTCTTCTGTCTCTTGTTTTCTGCTTTTTGGCCAGTTGTGGGTCTCTGTGTTGATCATAATCTAATGGAAATAAACATTCTCTGATAAAGTTTGAGAGAGTTCTTAATCTATGGATTTAATAATATATCACTGGGAGTTGGTTTAATCCTGTGTCTACTTAACAAATTATTTAAATGGTTTCTCTCCTTGCATTATATCATCTATCTTGTCTTAGGTTTCTGGCCCAAAAATGGTGCCAGGTATATGGATTTTGTCTTGTGGATCAGTCCTTCAGTCCTATCAGAAAGTGGTTAGTTACTCCCCCATGACATTATTGCCATGGTTGCACGAATGGGCACTTATCTTACCAGGCTAGGCATTATTGTAGTTCATAGGTATCACAGCTCAAGAAGATCAATGGTTACTTTCTCCTCCAGTAACTTGCATAGTACCATCTAGTATTATAAAAGTTATTTAGTAGAACTGAGCCTTCCTGATGTGCCAACTTGATTCTATCAAGTTCTGTAGCTCAGGCATGTGATATCTTCAACAGTAGGGTCATACTATCATCTTCTGAAGGTAACCATGAGTATTGGCAATGGACTATGATACCTGGTGGTTTGTGGAACCTCACTGGCCAACAACTCCAAAAAAACATTATCCCATTTCTGGGATTTGAATTTTATATGTTAATCATCTGTTGCCCCATTATAGGGTAACTTCTACAGATATAGGTGCCCATATTTTTTAAAGGTTTTCAGTGTTATTTATCCCTTAAATTTAATGGCTCCTTTTCTCTTCCTACTCCAAAGATTTTTTTCCTTTATTTTTAGTTTTCAGAATTTGATATGCTATGACTGGATGTAGCTTTGTTAACATTTCCCTTTTAGGTTCACTGAGATTCTTGAACCTCCAAACTTATACTAGTGAGAATTGAGACTCTGTAAGCCATTATTTTGGGGGTAGTTTTCCTTGTACCAGTTTCAGTCTCTTCACCATGATGGCTCCTGATATGCAAACTTAATCTAGTATTAATGAATATTCCAAGGTTCTTTAGAATCTATTCTTGATGTGTTTCTCAGAATATATCTATGACACATCTTTACATTAATGGATGTTACCCCCTTTTCAGTTATCATTTCAAATAAACCTTTTTCCTTCAATTCTAAAGTTTCCACTTAGGTATGTTCATGGTTTCTGTTTTTTGACTTTTTTTTTTTTTACTATTTTTTTTTTTGTCATTTGCAGATGATTAGATTAGCTATGTAGAACTTATTTTGCTGACAGTTCTGATGTATGGCTCTCTTTGGGGTTGTTGCCAGTGGATTTTTTTTTCCCATAAGAAATGAATAAATTTGGGCTGGAGAGATGGCTCAGTGGTTAAGAAAACTGTCTGCTCTTCCAGAGGTCCTGACTTCAATTCCCAGCAACCACATGGTGGCTCCAAACGGTCTGTAATGAGATCTGGCGCCCTCCTCTGGCGTGTGGGTATACGTGGAGGCAGAAAGTTGTATACATAATAAATAAATAAATCTTTTAAAAAAAAAAGAAATGAATAAATTTTTCTGGTTCTATCAATGCCGAGTAATTTTGGGTAGTATCCTGGTCATTTTGAATATTATATTCTAAGTAAAATATTTATGCCATTTTAAATCTCTGGATAATGTTTATAATTTTAATAACCAACCTGTTTATCATCTTTGCTGTACTGTGGTGGTTTGAATATATGTCCTCCATATTCTGGACATTCGAATACTTAATTCTCAGATGACACTGCCTAGGGAAGTTTAGAAGATGTGCCTTGTTGAAGGAAATATGGGGCTGTGGGTGGACTATTGCAGTTTTTCTTGTTTTCTACACCTGATATTCTCCTTCCATCTCTTGGATTGGTGGTGCTCGGGTCTGTAGTTCTTGTTCACTTACCTAGATTGTCCACCTCCAGGATTCCCTCAGTTCACGGTTTCTTTATTGCTTCTCTCTCAATTTTCTGGCCTTGAATAGTTTTATTTATTACTTTCGCCTATTTGTTTTTTCTTGACTTTCAGAAATGTATTAATTTACTCCACTGTTTTTTTCTCCCCTAGGATCCCCCTCCTCTTTTTTAATTTTTTTATGTGAATTGTTATTATTTTTTGCCTTTTTTTTTTTGTCTGTGTGAGGGTGTGGAATCCCCTGGAACTGAAGCTAAAACAGCTGTGAACTGTGATGTGGGTCCTCTGGAAGAGTAGTCAGTGATGTCAACCACTGCGCATCTCTCCAGCTCCTTTCCTGCATTTCTTTAAAGGGTTTATTTGTCTCTCCTTTAAGGACTCTATCATCTTCTTGAAGTTGGTTTTAAGCTATTTTCTTGTGCTCCAGCTGTCTTGGAATATTAACAACTTGTTGTAATAAAACAGTTGTGCACTGCTGGTGACAAATTGACCTAGTTGTTGCTGATTATGTTCTTACACTAGAATCTAAGTATCTGGGTTAGAAATAAATATAGGTCTAGGAGCCGATTTTTAAATTTTTCTTTTTGTTAGAAAGGAGTTGTTTTTTTTTGTTTTGTTTTGTTTTTTGCTTGTTTGTTTCCCCCTTGGTTTCTGTTTCCTCTTTGGTCTTCTGGTCTTTGTAGTCTGTATTTCTGGCAACCTACAGAGTTTCCGTCAGAGTTGGGGACTGGACTTCTGATAGCTTGTGTGGCCTTTTGATTCAGAAAGGGAATCTCTGTTCTGATTGGTGTGACCTGCACTTGAACATTGAGTACCCCCCAACTAACACACCTGTGTAGTGGCAGTGACACAGCAATGAGTGTAGGTCGTGGGATGGTGTCAGCATCTTGGGTCTTTCAGCTCTGAACTGAGGGTGTTTTGGAGGTGAGGTATTCCAAGGGCAGGTGGGTCTCTTAGTTGTTCTGAGGGGCATATTCTGTTCCTGAGAAATGTATGTCTGCCCTTGTAGGGACAAGCACATGTCAGGAGGGAGTCTAAGAAGGAATGTCAATGGCTTGGGTCTCTTGGCTCTGAACCAAACCAAGGGAATGTGAGGGTTCAGATGACAGATGGGGTCTTGCTCTATGTGTCATACCTTCCTGGTATCATAGTCTTATACCATGATGGTCATGGATGTTTATTTCTCTGGAACCATAAATCCTTCTATAATTTGCCTGCTCTTAATGTATTTATTGTTACTGCAATAGGAAAATAACTAAGAATTATACTGTCAAGTTCTGCCAGAACAGTTTTCATGAATTCACATAATATTCAAGCAGAGGTGTTTGTGTGTGTGAATGTATACATCATCCTTATGTTTTAAAAGTCTATCATATACTTCTTGAAGCCTTGCATATATGTGTGAATATATGTGCATATATTCACAGTTCACAGTAAAGCGCAGAATTTTTTCTAGTTCATACATATTATTAAACATTATATACTTTCTGTGTCTGTACTCCAGGAGGTTTTCCATACTCTCCAGTTTCCAGGGGCCCCCATTCCCACTTAAAGCTGTGTGAAAGAAAAGTATATTTCTTACATAGTATTACATTTTTTGCTTTATGTATTTCTTTGCAACTATAAC